GCCTAAGATTCTTTCTGATGTTTCATAGAAAGTCTGGAGAGCTCAAAGTAAAATTTAATCTTGGCTCTGTTATACTCCTGGTAGGTATTAGCAGAATTTAGAATTATTAAATGAAAATCGTAACATATTTTCTTGTTTTAGAAAATCTTATCACACCTAAATCAAAATTGAATACCTAAAACAAATTGCATTTTTTTTCTTTTTGATAAGTATAGCTTATGCTCAACATGGTATTTTCATTATATTTTCCACAATTATATATTTTATTTAAATGATTTTTTTTAATCTAGGGTAAAAAAGTGAATCTGGCCAACTTGTAAAATTTTGGATGACTTTCACCATCATTCCTTCTTTTGTCTTTTTCTCTCAGTAAGGGATTTAATCACTTTTGATGAAATTTCATAATTCAAAATTTGGTTTTCTCTCTGGATCCCCCCTCTATCTTAGTAACAGTCCAAAGAATCTATAAGTCTTGCAAATCGGACCTCATTATAATTCATGTCACTTACCCAAGTCAGGTGTACAATCAATCATTTCTTATCTGAATCAGCACAGTATACTAACCATCTCCAGTTAGTACTTCTCTAGATCATTCATCAAGTGCATGTAAAAGTTCCTTGCTTAATTCTTCTAAGATTAAGTTAATTGCTCCCTTTTGGCCATGGAGAAAAGTTCAAACTCTTCATTAATTTTATCTCACATAACCCTGATAAGACCCTTGACCACTTCTCCAAATCATCTCTAGGTTGATATAATTTTTTAATGATTTATTTATGCATATAGAACTGGGTTATAGGTTAGAGGGGCAGGGGGATGAAAAGATTCACCAGCGACAGAGTGGGGAGCAAAACAGGCAGAACAGCGAAGTACAATGCTGAGGGGAACAGCAGGAGAGACAGGAGAGGTCTGCTGCACCAGGTGAATCCCTGCTCTGGCAGGGGACCAAACTCATGCTGAGGTGACTGTGGCTAGCTTTGCAGTGTTGTGTCACCATGGAGGGCCCTGAAATCTGTAAATTATCCTTTGGACTGCTATGCTTCAGAGATAGTGATGAAGACTTTGTACTGAGTATCATTCTTTTGCTTTTGTGCTTGGCTAACTACTACTTGTTAGCTCTTAGCTTAGATGCTACTTTATCTTCAGGAGTACCTTCTCTGACCCTCCAATATTAGGGAGACACTCCTTCTACATTCTCCACAGAATTCTGTGTTCACACCTGTAGAACATATTCCTAGCATAATCTCATTGCTACACAAGTGCTAAATGGGGTGGCCAGTGACATGCATAATTAGGTCCAAGGGACGGATGTAACCCCCGATAGAAATTAAATTCTCTCTTGGAAATCTGAACTAAAAGATAAGGCAAAAGCCCATTAACAGTAAGTATCTTGGCTGAGAATAGCACTGTACAATTCCGTATGACAGTCACTAGTGAATAAAGCTTTGGAACAACAAGGAAACAAAGAAATAGGTCCACAGAACAATAAAAATAATAGCCTTTCTATTATTTATTAATATCTAAAGTCCAAAGTTCCAATAATCAGACTCCTTAGGTTTCTATGACAACTATATAATTACTGAACACCAAACAAACAAAAAACTACTCTGAGTGCAGGGGAGAGATATTCTCTAGCAAGCATTTGCTGCATAGCCCTCACCTCTTCCAATGGATTCACTGAGAGAAAATTTGTGAGTTTTCCTGGTATTCACTGCAGTAGTAGCATGCATTTGTGCTCAATGCAGTGTTGTTGAACAAATGAAGCACGTGCTAGAGTGAATGAGGAGACCTCCAGTATTTAATAACCCACACTAATTCAAGGGTTGAATTCCATTTAAAGTAGTAAAATTAAATTGAATTTGTGCTTTACTTATAATTATCATAAAAGTACTTTCATTTAAAAACATAAAAACCCATAAATAGGTGAAAATGAAAAAAAAAAAACGGGTTAGAGTTTGTTGTAATTCTTAAAGGAATGATAGAATATACAAGCCCCTTTGTAAAAACATTTGAATCTTAAAACAAGTAAGCTTTGAAATGAGCACAGGGTAGAATTTTTATGAGTTGTCACCACTGAAATGCTTTAGGTGATTCTAAGAGTGTACTGCAAGAATCTTGTACATTTCAAATGTGGATTCCAGGAGGATTAGTTGTAGATCATCTCAATGAACTCACTATGTATCTGCACGAAAATCACAAAGCAGGTAAAATACTGATAAAAAAAATAATACTCCTTTAACTTCAAGGAAAATTCCTGATATATAGTAATTTACTGGGCAAGCTGCCCTCAAACTTTCATCTGCCATAATATGCTAAAGAGATATATATCTTCTGAAAACAATATATTTCCTTTTAATTCTTTTTGCATTGCTCTTCTACTATTAAGCCCTAATTCCTATGTATCTAAATACTGATTAACTCTCAAGAGATGGTATTAGAAATCAGACTTAATGGATGAAAAGAATGGAAAAAATGTACTATTTAATTTCAAACCAAAAAAAACAAGTTTTTGTTATTTTATTATGGCTCCTTTTGTTGATTTTATACTGTTTATTTGACTATACACATAAGGAAAAACATTAAAATTTTAAAAGCTAATATCAATGTTATCTTTCAAACTATCACTACAGTTATGTCAATAATATGTCTTTATTATTTATGTTTGAGTTTTCTATACCTAAATATCTTGTTGTATGAGTCTCTTGAATTTTGTTTTGAGGAACATGGAAGAGGGGAATGAGGGTGGAAACTGCAGTTCACAAACATTTTCTGATTTATATTCTATGTCTTTTTAACTTGAAGAGTTCAGGGTAGTGTGGTATTTCTTATTTCAATTTTACTTTTAATATATTTCTAAGAGGTTCAGTTGTGTGTACTATCTTCTATATCAGGAAAGATAATTCTACTGTAATATTTACTTATTCTTTTTTATCCTATCTATAAGGAGGACTAAAAAAATGACTTCCAGATGCTCTATTTCATAGATATAATTACTTTTGCACAAAAAGAATTTTCAAAAAGTATTGTCTCATCATAACAGATTAACATAACTCTGTAGGCTCCTTTTAAATCACATGACATTTACTTCATACTCCATTTATGAGAGGACATGAAGCTTGCCTTATATCCTCATTTTCATTACTGTCCAAAACCAAACTTAATGCAATTTTCCTATTTTTAAGTTGGTAGAAAAACATGATTTAAAAACCATCACTGGATTGTAACCTCTCACATACATGGCAAAATCAAAAGCTAGCAATAGAAAATTCATATGAAGTCACCAAAGTGAGAGAATGCTAATATTTAGCCAATTTCCTAATAAAATCTCTATAGAAAAAAAGTATTCTGACTGATAGTCTGTATTTTTGTCCAAAGAAATAAGTTGACATATGCCGATATGTATGTATATTTGTTAACTGTCAGACATTTTATTACATCTACTAAATTTAGATAGTTCTGTATTTTTCTTCTTTACTGCTAAAAACTATGAGGCAAGAGTATAAGTTGGGGTAAATTAAATAAAATTAATTGTAGAATTTTATTATGTGATTTGATAATATAAATCAAACATCAATATATTAATGCAAATCTTATAGAAATATATTCTAGGAAAAACCTATCTGCATCCAATTTAAAGATTTTCTGGTTTCAGATAGTAACATAAACAGAAATCATTGAGAAAGCAATGAGAAAAAGATGAGTGCTTAAAAAAAGTGTATTTACATGTTCTTTGAATTTTCAGGACATGGTAGTCAATACTGCATGCTTCTGTGGAAATGCATGTGCTCACTCACTACCACTGTTCCCTATGAAGGAAGAAATGTTAATTTGATTGGAGAGATTCTAAGCCTCTCTAAGCCACTGACTGAACAAAATGACTGAGTGGACAGGGTGAACAGGTCTGCTGCTACCCATACATAGGTCCTTTTCCCTGCAGTTGCTGTAAATGAAGAGTTCGGTTTAATTCCCACAGGTCTCTTAAGTCTTAGATTGATTTATGATGCATCATCCTGAGTTCCTGATCTGAAACAAAGTATTCTGTAGTGGGGCTTAAAGAGATAGGCTCACTAGTATAGTAATATTTCATATTCCTTTGCCAGTACCTCTTATATAAACCTGCCCCTGAAGAAATTGTGGGTTAAGAAAGTTAACTCTACTTTAGAACAAGGTTTGATACTCATAGTTTTATTAGTCAAATTATTTCCAGGCTTTTTTATATTGTGATATAAAATGAAAATTATAAATGTAATTTAATATATTTTATTGATATATTTCATATTCTATGTCACATATTATATTCCCTGGGAGAAATTAGAGGGCTCAGAATACCTGTACCAGGTTTATTGGGGATAAAAGAAAACTTATAGTGACTAAATTATGTAACGATAAAATGCAAAGTATTGTCTGAATTAATAAGTTATTGACTTTTGGGCAAATCTTACATAATCCTAACAGGAATTTAATGGCCGAAGTCATTCACTGTACTTACAGATGCAAAGATAATATTATAAAGTAATTTCAACATTATAAAAAAAAAATAGGCTGCTTCTCAAGCCAGCACTTTTCTATCAAGTATTATGCTTTAGTTGGCTACATACATCGCCTAGAAATCTTGGCATTTTCAAATGATGAGAGTTGTTCTTTTTTTTTTTTCCCCAAACAAGTAGATGATCAGAAACGTTGAAAGGTATCTTGTACAACTACTAAAATGATCTATTAGTTAGATTGTCAAAAAGTAATTTCAAATTTCCTATGATCATGCAAAGATATTTCAAACAACAAATAGTTTAAAGTCAAATAGTTTGAGATATTGATGAAGCTCAAATGTAGAACAGGCATGCACGGTTAAATGACTACAATACCTCTAAGTGGAAAGGAACATCAGCCGCAATGAGTGGCTAGAGGAAATATCTGGGAAGACATAAGTGGCACTATTCCGGCTGAGCCTCCGATGAGCCCCTGTCCCACCACCCCCAGCCCTCTTCCCCCGCCGCTGGCCGCACCTTGGGCTGCAATCTGTGCTCCTTGGGAACCTGGACCACGAACTCTGGCAGCTCCACGGGACCCTTGTCCACGATGAGCAGTGGCTCGCTCTGCAGCAGGCTGCTGAAGGAGATGTCTGGGAGGAAGGGCGCCTCCTGGATTGCGCTCTGCATGTCGCAGGGGAGCAGCGAGGGCTGGATGTCGCTCACTGTGCTTGCCACCTGCGGGGACCGCAGGGCGCACCATCAGACTCTGCTCAGCTCAGGTCGGCCTCAGAGGAGCCATGTCAGAGGCTATTTCCAAGGCCACTCTCCACTGCAGGCCATCAGCCTCTGACTCCAGCCACCCCAGGCCCCACTCAGACCACCTTGGAGCTGAGAGATCTTATCTCTTGGTCCCTAGTTGATAGCCATCATGGTAAGCACTTTTCTATGTAAGACAAACAGTGAATGTAAGCCAAAAATCTCACTTCAATCTCTAACAATATTTAGAAAATTACACATAATATTTGAAAGCAGAATAAGCTACATAAAAAAAATGTTGTAAATATCATTTGCATTTTTATAGATGAATAGTATTCTGAGGTAAATTGTGGACACTATCATCTAGATAAGTGTAATTAAAATATTGGTTATTGAATTTAATTTTTACACAAAAAGTTTAATAAGGTAATGGGTGAAGCAAGTTTCAGAGAGTTTTTTGTTTTTATTTGTTGTACTTGGTCTACGGTTACATTTGCATGGATTGTTTTATAATTATTTATATGTTTCAGGACATTTAACAGTTTTTGAAAGATAATATATTAATATCTGCATTGGACATTAAGGTGAAGAGGATATACAACATTTCTACCATTTAGTTACAGTGATTTTACTGACAAATGGTACATATTACAAAAATGAATAAATATGAAGACCAAGACAATAATGAAAAAAATAAAATTGCACAATGTGATTTTTTTGAATAATTCACAAAACAGTCATCATTATACCTACAGAAAACAAAGTTAATTAAGTACAGGATTTATTTTTCTGATATAGTGAAATACAGGATACACATTACACTAACCCTACACTAATGGCTATAATAAATAGGAATAACGAAAACATGTAGTTAACAGACACAAAAATACTTTACAAGAAAAAAATCGTTTTACAAAATTATTTTTGACACACTGTAACATGCATATTTAAAAACATTGATAATGCTACCATTACACCATCGGGGAGACACTAAGAAATTCAATAATGCAAGAGAATTTGATGAGCTTCTAACACTGTAAGTTTATACAGTGGTGCTACAATTTTTTTTAATATATAATTTTCAAATTATGAATGAAAAACATATTCTTTTCATATCACAGTAAATAATATAGTCCTGATAGAAAAAAAAAAAAAAAACCTTGCAAACAACTTCATCTATGATGAATCTTCAGCGTGCAACTCTAAGTCATAGTCCTGAAACATTTTTATTTGAACTCATTACAATGTATGGTTGCTAAAATATCTAAGAAAAAGGTAACAGGAATGCTATTTTGATAGTCTGTGTGAATAAAAAAGGTGTAAAAGGAAACACATTTATGAACAAAAGAGTTGTAAAAAGCAAAATCTTTAAGTAATTACTTCCATTAATGTTTAATTCCAGTAACATCCTCATTGAATTTCTAAAACTTTCCGTATGTTATTGTCCAAGATATCGTGACTATATTTCAAATATTTTTAGAGGAATACTTACAGACATGTTTTCCCTAATACCTTAAGACAATATTCTATTGAAGAAAATTAACAAAAGTTTATAAAGCTTTGTGATCCTACAAGTTTCATTTATAATAAATATGAAATAATTTATCCCAGACAAGTTAACATATAAAAACATTTAGAGTTATAGAACAAGCACTTATTTGTTCATTCATTCAACAGATACAGAGATACCGATATGTGTTGTGTTCTTTTCTAGATTTGATGATTTTAGTGAAAAGACCACATACCTACTTTAATGAGTCATTCATTTGGAGTGTGAGATAGAAAATAGAAAGAAATAATTCTAAAATACAATATAGAGAATAGTAATCCACAGTAAGTTTAAACAGACTAATGTGTACAGGCTTCTTTATATTTTTAGGAAAGATTTATTCCAGCAGTACAATTTAAGCTGAGATCTTGGAAGTTGCTGGTCATACAAAGATCTGGAATAAAGAGCATTTCATGCTACAAATGCCTCAAGATTCAAACCTCCTACATCTGCGCATGAAATAGGACAATGGCCAAAGAAGATGTGTATAGTGGACTAGAAGGAAAATGTCCTACAATGCAATCACAAAGGTAAGCAACAGGAAGATGGTAAGCTTTGTAAAGCAAGGTGAGGAGTTTAAGATTTGGGACAATCAAGCCATTTGTTTAGGATGCTGAATAAAGCCTCCTGGGAGTGACACAAAGGGGGAAAAAAAATAAGCAAGAAAGAAATGATGGGGGAGTGAGGAAATATGTGGGCAAAATTAAGAAACATTGATTGAGATAGGGAAAAGTATACAGGACTAGTGATTGCTACTATCTCAGGAAAGGGCAGCTTCCAGAGTGGGCAGAAATGGCACATGTTTAAAAATACAAATATAGTGCAATCAGCATTACTGAAAATATAATTGTGTCTATATGTAAAGGAAAGAATGTTGTCTGAACAAATAAGAACATGCTTGACTAGATTTAAAACTAAGAACCCAAAGAGAAAGGTTTGGATAGGCAATAAACTGATTTTGTGTAGTGAGACTAAAACATACAAAGTATCTGGAGGTAAAGAAGTTATTGACACTTAATTTGGAAGAAATTAAATTCTGATGTGTTTTATGAAATTAGAGTATCTTGTTATTGCCCTAATTTAGAGACTTCTTTAAATCTGTCATCACTATAAAAGAATCCAGAGTCATTCAGTGGCAGCAAGTGAAGAGGAGTGGTTCCAATGCCCACATGGAGAAAAGCTATATTTGGATAGAACCTAAATCTTCACTTTGGCTTTAAGAAATACAGTACATGTTACTCTAAGATAAAGTATGGCTGCTAGGAAAATATTTGAGTTAGAAATAAAAATCTAATTTGTCTTCTTGAAGCTATTATAAAAATAAGTCTTCAAGATAAATAGCACAGTTTTAAGACTGGTATTTCATTACAACCATGGAATCTAAAGTCTGGGGTCAGTCAATTCACTTCCTCAAAAATAACTGTGAAAGTGTATGGGCTGACTATATCCAGATTTCTCAAGAGGAGGGTGTGATCAAAAACTCACTCTGTCCTTAGAGAATATAAGTCCATTAGAAGCTACCTCATACATCTAACCTGGCATTCTCCACACTTTTTCTCTGAATTCTACACATACAGGTTACATCAAATACATCAAGTTACTCCTCAAGGTACTTCTTTTCAGATATTTCAAGATAGCATTTACATTTTGATTGTCACTTTTCTTTCTTACATAAGTAAGAAAGAGGTTTCATTCAAATTAAGCATTAAAGATACCTCCATAGTGCTGTGCCTCCACAAAAAATGTCTTTATACTCTTCTTCCATCTTATTTCAGACCACATTTTCATACTCTATTGTATGTAACTCTAAGATGCCAAGAAAGTAATTTTGGTTCTAGCACATGAAGTAATGATTAGGTCAATGCATTTTGTTCTTTTTAAATAACATTTTAAAAACTGCATATCTGATTAAAACTTTTTTTAAAGAAAGATATGCCTATTTGTATAAAGATTTAATTGCCTAAGCCATAGATAATATTTAATATTTAAGTATTATTTTTAACCAATTTTAATTTTGTTTTCTGATTCTCCTTAAATAACTGATTATGATAATCCTGTCAGTTATTCAATTTCTTCCTCCAGACATAGTAATCATGACAGTGATCCTCTAATCTAGAAAAACAATGCACTGAGTATCTCTAAGGTAAGGAAAATAACAAAACACCACCAGAATATGTCTATCACAGTTAAAAGTGATTTTCAGGCCCTCCCCGGTGGCTCAGTGGGTTAAGCACAGCACTAAGAAGCTTAAGCCACTTCCTCAACAGTTCAATCCCAGTCCCGAGGAGATCCACATGATGTGGCAGACCTCTCCTGACCCGCCTGCTGCTCCCCTCAGCAGTGTGCTTTGTCGATCTGCCTGTTCTGCTCCCCACTCTGTCCCTGGTGAACCTTCTTACCCTCCGCATCTTTTAAATCTTTTTTTAAAAAAAAGTGATTTTCAAATACTAGGGATATTTCTCACAAGTCAGCTGCTATCATATTTTGGGGTATATTTGACCATATGTTTTTGATAATTAGTCTATTACAATATTATTTACTACATTTACTATAATAATAATTATGAGGCTAGTAGTTCAATTCAAAATTATTCAACTTTGCCTTTCACTACTATACCTTGGATTAAAACAATGTATCCGGGCCCTGCCTGGTGGTGCAGTGGGTTAAAGCACAGCACTAAGAAGCTTAAGCCACTTTCTTATGAGTTCGACCCCAGTCTGCTCGGAGGAGCTCCACAAGGGAGGCAGATCTCTCCTGACCCGCCGCTGCTCCCCTCAGCAGTGTACTTTGATCATCTGCCTCTTCTGCTCCCCACTCTGTCTCTGGTAAATCCTCTCACCCTTCGCATCTCCGGCCTATACCCCAGTTCTGTATGAATAAATAAATCTTTAAAAAAATTTTTAAAACCTGTATCATTCTAAATCATAACTACCTGATCCTGCATTCAAATTATCTTTCCTAGTAGAAAATTATTCTGCCTACTGTCCAAATATTCCAAATATCAATCCAAGTATCACTTTCAGCATAATTGTCATAAACCATCCACTATGTATGTAATCATCATCTATTTCCATTCCATTTTGTAGTAAAATATATCATTATTAATCTACTTTGAAATTAAAATTTAAGCTTTCAGAGAGCTAAAAATGTGTGTGTGTGTGTTTTAGATTTATTTATTCATACAGAACTGGGGTACAAGCCAGAGGTGAAGGGGCGGTGAGAGGATTCACCAGAGACAGAGTGGAGAGCAGAACGGGCAGATCGATGAAGTACACTGCTGAGGGGAGCGGAGGGCGGGTCAGGAGAGGTCTGCAGCGCCAGGTGGACACCTCCGGGTCCAGGGATCCAATTGGCACTGAAGCAGCTGAGGCTTGCTTGCAGTGCTGCGTCCTAACCTGTTGCTCCTCCACGGAGGGCCCTGTTTTCTTTT